AAGTTATTTCGCATTAAAAGAGTAATTTTCAATTGATTATTCGCAAGTAAATCTGAATTATGTGAAAAATGTAATTAAACTTTTGCAAAGTTAATAATTCTATTGCATGTGCTGATGTCGTAACGTACGATATTATCTGTGAAAGAATCAGATAGCGTTATCCTCCGTAGTGCTGCCAGAATTAAAGACTATACTGATATTATTAGAATTAGAGACTATACTGATTATAAAAAAGAAAAATAATGTTTATTTTAACAAAAAGTGATATATAATGAATTAGTTTACATTTGAATTGTATATTTTGCTAAACAGACTTAATATATTTATAACAAATAATGTACTTCAGCTTACGGGTCAGTGATCCCCATCTCGATCAGGTTTTTGTCCAGTTTCCCTGATCCATTGAGCAAATGCTGAGATGGTTCCTTGATTCGCTTCTGGACATAAATGTAGCTTCACTATGCGCACGTTTTGTTGAACTCTCCTTTTACTTGTAATGGTAAGAGAAGAGGTAAGGGCGAGTTTCTATTTTGTTAGCAATGCAGAAAAATCATACTTACAATTCGTGTACCGATGCAAATAAATTTTCTATAACTCAGAAACAAAAATTACTATTTTTCAAAAATTGCTAATCTTGCAATTTTTAAAATTTATTTTTATAGATTTATGTTAAACTTTTACTCATCTTTCAACTATTTATAAGTAAAATGAAGGGAAGTGTTTCTGGAACTCAAGAAAACTTGCATAGATAATTCCCCCTCCCCCCCCTATTTCACATACAGTTTTTACTGTCTTTTGTTTTTTTGACTGAATAAATCTAATTTAATGTGAAGAAAGACTGGGATTTTGGATTCGGCCGTTACCCAAGTTATGTGTTGACAACTCTACATTAACTGCAACTCCCATTATTTTCATAAGAAACAAGTGTTCTTCAAAATTAAGCTGTTGGCTTAATGTTTGTTCCTTGTAACAATTTATAAGATTTCTGTATCTTTTTTTACCGTAAACATATTTTCCTTTTGTAATTGCACACATTACCAAATATATTTACATTTATAAGCGTATTTTTCTGTTTTTATAACATATAAATCAGGCTGTATAATTTGTATATTATAACTAAGATTCTAATTTTAATTAGAATGTCTAATATTAACGGAAATTGCACTTTTCCTTTTTTGCCACAGGGCTTCCTCATCTCTATTGCTAACATTGTTTTAACATTAGTTTGTAAAATCCATTATATTCTTTGTTCAATTTACAAAATAAACAAAGACTAAGAAATAAGAAAAATAAAACTTGAACACAAAATAAATGTATAAACTTTGTTTAGTTTTCTAATTTTTCTTTTGAAGACTAACAACAATTTTGTTTTTTAACAAAACTATTTATCATTTTACTTGCAGTTAGACTTTTCTGCAAAAAATCAATTTATTATTATTCCAACTGACTTCATCAAAATCTTGGAGAGTACACATATTTTAAATGTTTATAAAGCATAATACAACTCTTTATGTTGTGTTGAAGAAAGCTTATGCTACATAACATGATAACCTTATCTTTAGGAACACTGACCAAAGAAAAGTCATAATCCATAATTTCATGGAATGAATATATGTTTACTGCAGTTTCCCAGTCTTATTTCTACCTAAGAGCCGTATCTTTAAAAAATAACTACTTTCACACAAGATAATAGTGTTTGTAATCTTGATTTCTCTCTCAAATGTTAGAACTTGCATGAAATTAGCATTGTAAAAATGCATGTAATTGGTTTCACATTGTCTATAACCCAAATCCACCTTCTAACAAATTATTTTGAAATATGCTTAACAACAAGTAATCAGTTTTACATTTTTCAAATATATTGGAAATGAGATGTAAAAAAGTGTCAGTTGTATGAATAAGACTGAAAGATTTGGGCTGATAGTGACTGACAAATTAGTACCATCCACTTTCAATTTTTGAGCCATAGCCACACTTTTCGTAGAAACTTATATAAAGAGCACTGTATGAAGCTGAAGGGAGAAATATAATGTAGATTAGGATAGGTTTTTTACTAGATGGCTTTTTATATAACTGCAACTGTTCAATGATGAATTATGGCTGTAAACTGTCATCACTACTTTTACTAACCTGTGATTTGTTTATATATTAATTTATTTTTGCCAAAGAACAGTAAAATCTGTATGTGGTATAAAGGGGCGAAGAACAAATCTGCGCATATTATCTTGAGCTTTGCTATCTTTTACTTACCCTTTAACCATAAATACTTATAGATAGATAGTGAATAAATGGACCAACAAAGCCAGGTTAACAACATTTGAAAACTAGACACTTTTGCTCCTGAGTATAGAAAACTTATTTGCATCGGTATATTACCCACAGATTTGATTTGTTAGTACAGCTGAAAAGGTAGTAACCTACACTTCTCTCTACTCCTAGTACAACTAGCAAAAGGAGAGCTGAAAAATAATAGGCAGAGTGAAGCTACATTTATGTTCCAAAGCAAAACAAGGAGCCATCTTAGCATTTGCTCAATGGGTCCGGGAAAATTGATGAAAACCTGATTCAGATGGGAGTTACGGACTCAAAAGCGCAAGTACCTTAGTTGTAACAGGCATATTAAGTATTTTTAAAATTATGCAATACAAATGGTAATTAATGCATTATATTGTTAACTAATGCATAGTTGTATGTTTAAATACCATTTTTCTTCTTGATGGTCAGTATAGCCTCTAACTGTATGGAAACCAGGAATTCAGCAGAAAAGATTTTACTTGTATCTAAACTTGTGTATCAATTAATTGTTTAATGTCATTAGCCAAAGAGTTGTTACGTAAAATCATTTATTATATATAGATTTCTTGCAGTGCACTTTTGATACTGATACCTGAAGTGATTTCTTTGACATATGTTTTAATTATAAATATCAGTATTGCATGAAAATATATTCTTACCATAAGTAAGTCAGTTTCAACAAGAAAACTGCAGATTTGTAAATAAATAGGCAAGGCAATAGTAAGATTCCAAGCTCGATGGAATCTTACAGCAGGAATCATATGAATGGCATTTGTTTATTATTCTTATAATGTTTTTCTGCAATCTAAGCAGTGACGTAGTGTAGTAAGGATGGCACAATTTCACAATAAATAATGATAATGAATTGTAAAAATTTGAACCATTCTATTTAATATTTTTGCCACACCTACAATCAGACTGATTGAAATGAGCACGAAATAGTTCATTACTTATTCTGTGAAGACTTATTTAAATTAATGTTTAATAGTGATATCTGTGCTCGTTGTAGCAACTGGCTACACCGTCTGTACTGAGTTGAGGGGATTACCTGTATTTATTTTATAATTGAATTATCTATGACTGATATTCAGTGAGAATTATTTCTATCATATAACAATAGTGTTCAATATTGTATAATAAATCAGTAAATTAGATTACGGTACTGATAATTCCCTTCCGAAAAGTCTGTGAGTGACAATGCCAATTTAAAGAAAGTTTCACTGATGGATTGTCAGTCGTCCAATTCAAATTCAATTAATTTAATTAATTAAGTAAGTATGTGTATGCACTTTACAAACTTTTAATTTAGCTTTCATAACTATCTATAGTGATTGTTAAATTAATGAACTTTGTTGAAAATTGTATTGAACACATACATATACATTCAACTATGTATCAAATATTTTATTCATGTAATTGTATATTTAACTCTCTGCTATGTTGTTCACGCTAGTATATTTCAGTCTTTTAAATTGGAATACCAAAATATGGGGGCAGCAAACTTTTCATCTGCCTTGGGCGGCACACTCTTATGCTAAGCCACTGAATCGAAGTTTGTGTACTATTGGAGCTTCCCCAAAATATTATACCATATTTTAGGTAGGAATGAACATTTGCAAAATACTCACACATTTTTTATCATTTTTTCCAACTCGTTCTTAGCTACACTTTGAGCACCATGAGTTACTCCACAAATAAAAACAAGAACATCAACAAAATCATGAACAGATTTTACAACTCCAATCTTTTTGAATTTTTAAATCGAGAAATTAACATTAATTCATTCTAAATCAATATTGGACTTCGTATTGCATCTTAACTAGCAGAGTTTCTCATACTGGTCATCAGATTTCAAAGCCAAGTGATTTTTGCTCCTAGCGTCACAACAAGCAAAGTCTGCCTCCAGACCTTTTTCATTCTGAATTCTCAAACTTACCCCCTGCTCCTCAGAAATTGCATATTTGGAAACAAGGATGATCAGATATTTGTGAAGCAGAAACATCTGTAACGTCATACTTACTCATTTACTTAGAGCCCACGAGTAATTCAACTGAAATGCAAGTGACATTTCTTACTTTGTCACTGCTTAGTCCTGCTCCCTGCTGAGAAATGCACACCCCTGTGCAAGGGAGATAACATTCAGAACCCATTAATGAAAACTTGCTTTCTCAGGCTTAATAGGAATATTCATTCCAAATATGATATAACTAAGCACAAGTGACATGTGTTTTCAATAAATTGATTTCAATTACAAATGTTGGAGTAAATGAGTATTTATTGTTGCTGGGCATGCCATCTACTCTGATTATTTGTACTTTTAAGTGTTTTGCATATTATACCACAGGAAATGGGGTCTACTGGAACATGAGATCTGGCATCAGCCTTTATATTGCTTCAGCTAGTGCAAGCTCATGTTTCTCAACACAGTAGTGTAGCCTGAAAGAATACGCAGATGTATGTGTGTGTGTAAGGAGAGTGGATATGGCAAGGAAGAAGAAGAAAAGATTGCAAAGGGTCCATTGTTCATTTCTTAGGGCACTATTCCAGCATTCACCAGGTATCGATAGCAGAAACCAAGGAAAACTACTGATCAGTGCAGTCTGCCACTAGAATTCTTCTCCAAACAGGGGATGAATTTCATGAATCCATTTTAAAGATCTGATTGGCAACATTTTGTTTGAAAAATTTGAAAATGCTTGTTTTGTAATGATATTTATTTTAAATTTTCTTTGCTTTTTTTATTACATATTTAAAGTGATGAATAATGATGGTGTGATTGAGTTAAGGTGCTAAAGTGTTTTGTCTGAGAAAACTTTTTCTCACAAATTAGCTTGCATAACAAAAAAAAAAGGTCTGTGTATGTTTGAAACCTGGTATGTTTGCAGAATTGCAGTTTTCAAGAATGAAGGTGGTATAATTAAAGGTAGGTGTGATACTTTAGAAAATAAGAAGGGTTTACAGAAAGCTTAAGGCCATTAAAATCTAATTAGAAGATCAAAAATCTCACAGATCATACACAAGGTGTCCAAAGAAATAGCAGAGCATTATCAGAGAAGAAATAATATACTTCAAGAATTCCAAGAAAGTAATGATGATTTATGTAATGAAATCTGTAACGATGAGGAAGGAAACAAGAGGATATGCCACAAATTCTAAATGATCCTTTCTTAACTGAATACTAAAAGATGATGTTCACTAATGCTCATATTAGTACTTGTTTTACAAGCTATGAGGCTGTTAACAAACCATGACCAATTATAAGGTGACCTAGATGCTGCGCAAAGATGGTCCATGACATGGATAATACTATTGAATGAGTCAAATTGCACTGTTATGCATACAGGCAAGAATAATCCAAAACTTCCTTATTACCTTGGTGAAAATATGCTAGCAGTCTTGACTGAACTGAACTGAAGGGACTGTGTTTTTTTGCAGGTTGGTAGTTATTATATTAATTTGAAAATACCCAAAGAAAAGCAATGTGTATACCTATTGACCCAAAACATCTCCCATATGAACAAGACAAGGCAGGTTGAGATTAGCATTACTATGTGAAAGAAGAGTGTATGCCAACATCTTCAAAATTGTTCATGGATATTACAACATTGACATGCAAGATATATTCTTATACTCTACCAACCTAGATCTCAGAGGACATTCTATGAAACTTCTAAAATGAAGACAAATAGGTTCAACAGAAAAACTTCTTGAGCAATAGTATTGTAGATCTGTGGAATAGCCTACCATGACACCATCTTTGATTAATGAATCCGAAAACATCTATGATCACTTTGCAAATAGATGTATGCATTTAATGTTATTGTCCTTCATACTTTACGATATTTCATGTTTTTTTTTTTGTTTACTTAATAGTTAAGTTTTTAAATATTAATTACATAATATTATATTCATGCCGTCAGCTTTTCATCAGTGAATGTGTATTACCACTTTGCCTGTATCACTAATTACATAAATAAATAAATATTTGAAAAAAATAAGTACATATATAGATGTACTATTATACATACATGCACGTCGCATTTTTTATTACTATAAATTCTGAGCCTGTCTTTCCCAATTGGCTTGATATCTAGCAGTTATTCTATTAACAGACATGGTGCTTCTGCAAAATCATCTCATGAAGGACCCTATTCAGTAGTCTCTTCTTAAGTAATTCTTAAGGCAAAACAATAAATAATAAAGCTGACAATACACAATGCTAAAAGGAAATGGAAACAAATGTGTCAAAAAGTTACAGGTACCAAAAAAATCTGATAACAATCTTATATTCAGTGTGACTTTGATACAAAAATGAAAAAAATATGTATCAAATTGTCTTATGAAATCTACACAGCTTCTAACAATTATCCTAGGAATGTCTGCTTCAATCTTAAGAACTTCTCTTACATGACTAGAAATTGAGTATTTAGCACACAGTGACTTCAGAAATTCTTTGTTCATTTTTTAAGCACAATGTTTCTTGATAAGGCTTTAAGAAACTATGATTTATATACATGAAGCTGAAATCAATTGATTCCATAAATTATTTTCAATGTTCAATTTTCTTCTTAAAACTGTTGAAGCCATTTTCTCTGCCAGTAATTGTAGCCAATGATGGAAGTGTGCATTGATAAAACATTTTTACAAAAGTCATATAAAAAGTTTATAAAATGTAAAGACCATTATCAAACATACTATAAATTTCCATATCGCATATTCCAAGTAATCTTGTAAAAACTCTATACAAATGTTCAGATGAAAATATTTGGCTTTTTGGACAGAATGAATAACCTGGGATTGAATTATGTTTTTTTCCACTTAGTTTTCATATATACAATAGTTATCACCTGAAGGACCTCCTTCAGATACTTTCATTTGATGCATTTTGTTGGCAAGGTCACATCCAAGCAATGGTAGATCCTCTTCTCGAAGGACTCCACGAGGCAAGTGTCCTAATAGAGCCACAGCGTGCTCTCTCAACATTCGCTGCCGTTCCTCTTCTATCATCTTTCTCCTGCAAAGTAACAGAGTAATGTCAACCCAATTAGATCTGCTTCACAGCACAAAGTTCTACAGAACAAAAAATTCAAATACACAAATCAAATTCAATTTTAGCTGATCAAACAAGCTGAAATGAAAATTGCCTTTCTGAATTTCAATTAATAACAATAACAAAACTATTCCTTCCACACCACATACTTTCTATTAATAATTGTAAAGGTTATATAATATTGTAATATTGAAACTTCTATCTGTCTTGCGGAGTCCAGTATTCAAATCTGAGACTTCCAGTCCCTCGTGTCAGTTCTTTTAACTACTTCACTAGTGGTTCCACAAAGTTACTAAAAATGTGTTCTTGAAGTTTTTGTTGGTTTTGAGGCATCACAAATTGTTTCAAAACATTCTAAAAAAAGCTGAACAAAATGTACTTGAATTGGTTTAAATATAAAATAATGAGTAAAAGACTGCATTTGCAAAGAATTTGGTTAGCTAGTTTCAATACTGAAGGTGAATGACAGGTTCATAAAAACTTCTTGGGCCATTTCTTTCTTAGTGCAATTTATTCATCAACAATAGTTTTTAAATCACTTCACCTACACTACAAAATATTAGTTTTCACAGCACTGAATGCTGACTCAAATGTTAGTAGGATATTAGTTGTAATACAATATAATGTGACCATTACCAATAATATAAGAAAATTTGTGCTGTTAAGTGTTACAAGCACCACTAGTTTTATTTTCTCATATACAGTATGTATATGAGAAAAAATGCAGAATGATGCAAAAAACAATGTTTAGATTTTGATGGAAACACACAAATTAGGATTCCCTGATACTTAAAAAAGTTTTTATTTCTCTCTCTCTCTGAAATATCTGTTCTTCTCTGAATAAAACTAAAACATGAGAGATGGAACTTTTGAATAAACACCGTACAACCACACTGGCCAGTGTTGCCGAAGGAATGTAGAAATCCCCATGTGCGTGATTAGAGGCATGATTGGGTTTCAGGTGAAGGTCGACATGTTATATGTCTTTGCCTCAAATACATCATAAGGATTTGATGGATTAAGATTTTTGATAACCATATCTTATTGAGCAAGAAACTCTTTGAAAGGGTAGACTTTTGTGGCCAGAGTCAGTATCTACTTAGCAGTCAGAGAGATGCTGTGTCCTGGGAATAGATGACAATGTTTTGGCTGTCACCGTGTGAACTTCCTCATTTCACTCTGAGGAAAGCCATAGCATAATGGCTGAAATGTTGGTACCTGTGCTTAGGGTGTGATGTTTCCCAGACAGTCAAGCAGATAAGAAATTCTTTCATGCTTGTGAGAGCTTACGCATTTAATCAACTCTGCACCATGTGCTCACTACCTGGCAGAACCACAAAACAAATTTACAGTCAAAAACGTTTGGAAAATCCCAAATTTTGATGTTTGAGCTACCTGCATTGGTATCTGCATGCAACTCTGCACCTAAAGGACTGCAAAAATTACGTTTATTTTGGAATAAGAAAGTGTTAAAAAATTGTGAAGGAGGGTGATATAAAAGAAACAAATGGTCTACCTCTCATATTAACTAGCAAACCATATTAGACTTTCTTTCTACCCCACCTTTTTATGTATCACTATAATGTCGTGGAACGAAAATGTGGGTAGGTCTAACTGCTCAATAATGTTTTTCACTCTATTTGAATCTTCTAGTCTTCATTGAATATTTCATAAAGCTTTTTATAATAATGCACTGTTTCAATAGTCTTTCTGTTATAGCCATGTTTAAAGCAGCAAGGTGGTGGGAAAAAGATGTAACAGTGGGCGACCCAAAGTGCTTGATAAAACTGGGATGTTTATAACATAATGAATATATAAAAATGGATGGGTCCAACAAAAAATGTTGTAAACACTGGGAACGTAAATTGTGAGAATGTAAAAGTGGAGTTTTACTGTAATTTCTTATTTCTTTCCGATGATATAGTATAGCCTATTCAGTAATTATTTGAAATCATACAAGTTTAATTTGAATACTTACTGAAAATAACTGATAAGCGTTAATGCTGTCTAACCATGAACAGAAATGATTAAAGTAAATGAAAAGAAGGAAAAATTTAAAATCAGAAGACAATCATACCTCTGTGCTTCCAGGCATTCTTCCTGTTCTCGCTCCTTCAGCAAAAGTTGTTTCTCTTCTGCTCGGGCAGCACGACGGTCTTCCATGAGTTTCTGGATAGCTTGGGCATACTCTCTTTGCATTTGCCAACGCTTCTGGTTAGTGAGTTGCTCCAATCGATCATCTTCAGCAAACTTGGCAAGCATCTGTGATAAATTGGAAACGTATAAGAACAACTAACTAACTATATCAACAACTAAAAAAATGCACATTAATTTTTTACAACACTGAAAATAATGATAATCATGATGAATATAATAAATAAAGAGAAAGGTTCTAATCTTAATTATTTTAATAAATTTAAAGCATGAAGATGATTCACATTAAAAACGACACAGACTAGTGGAAATTTGAAGACTTCCAACCCTTTCAAAAAGAATAAGGTTTCAAAAATGAGATTCTTAAAACACAGTATGATGAGAATTAATTTTTTGGATCATCAGGTGATCAATTTGCCAACACTGTTTTTGCTCAACAATTTTCCCATCCTTTCTCAAAGTATTTTGTGAAATTGAATGCTCTCTGGAATGGTAGTAATAGTAATATTATGTGCTTTGAGATACTCACTTCGTCTCTCCATCTACGATCATCTTCTTCCTCTTCCCTGCGTTTCTGCTCTTTATCTCCTTTCTGGAGCATAGACATTTCACGAAGTTCCAAACGACGACGCAGCTCATTCTCCAGTTCTGAACGTTGCTGAGCTTCGCTTGCTGATCGGGCTTGAGCCTCTCGTAATTCCAGCCACATTTCAGTATGTTCCAATTTGCGCATCTGTGAACATAAATCAACAGTAAGAAAAAAAGAAGACTCTTTTCAAATTAACATTCAGTTGCAATTTGTTGCAAGTTGTTTTAGTATATTAAAACAATTAATTTAAATACTTATTAACAGACAATAATAAAATAGTACTTTACATCATAATGTTTTGGCCATATTTGTGACCTTCAAGTGAGAGTTATATTGCCCAATCAAAGTAAATAAAATAAAACATGTTCAAGTATCAATGGGTGATTTCCTTGCATTTAATTTGATATTATAAATATCCTTTTTGTCTAGGTTTCTGATTGTTAAATCTTTGAGAGTTGAAACTATGTTCTAATGGAGAAAGGTGGGATAGGTTCCTGGATATCAGAAAAGGGTTCAAGGAATAACAAACAACTGCAGTATTATCTAGAAATTAAGCACTACAACAGAAAGAGTTGATGATTAACACACCAAAGAAAGAAAAAATAAATAAAACAACATTTGAAAGTAATTGGATGTAGTTTTATGTTATTCTTGTTTATTTCATCAATCTCCTGACTTAAGAATTTCCTTAATCATTTCTAAAAAATAGTATAAATCATTTTATCATCTTAAAAAATCATTTTAGAAAGTCCTTTCTATGAGAGATAGTTTAAGTTTCAGAATGTCACTAAGTTTCGACAAAGAAGTTGCTCATGAATGCAGTTTCTTCTGTTCAGGCCTAATCAATTAGGCAATCAATTAGTGGGTTATGCATTCCAAAATAGTGAGCAATTTTGAGGAAACTCATACGAAATCATTTGAAGCATAAATGTGAAAATGTATAAAAATGATCGTAATGTAAATATTAACATCACAAACATTATATGTACAAAAATTTGTATAATTTTTGAAAAATCAAAAGAATACATTAAAATGGCATTGATGTCATATTATTCACGGCATTTAGCACATTCTGTACAAATAGTTTACAGAAAATATTTGGAACAACTTTAGAAAAAATCTTGTTTTTAAAATTCTCCATAATCACTCAAAATTGCACAAAAAACACTATTTTTTGTGCATTAGTGCATTTGTGCAATAGTGCAAAAACACTATTTTGTGTATTTTTAAAACATGTACAAGACATTACTTTAATTAAAAAACTAATTTCATCTGAAGAAAAAATCTCTATATTCCATAAAGCAGTTGTACAAGGGAGTCCACAAAATTTCAACATTGAAAAATCAGATCAGCATATTATAAGTGTATTTCATGCTATTCGTACAAGAAATAAATAACAATTCAACAAACATCACACCAGCACCTTTTCTTAAGTCTACTGAGCTCTACCTCATCAAAAACTGTAATAAAAAAATTTGAAAATGCTGTTGTGGCCTCGTGTAAACTACCCCCTAAAATTAAAATATTCATTTCAGTAGTACAATTTCTTACAGAAAGGGTCAATCTTTTGGTGCCGAAGGGAACTTTTACGGGGGAACTGGCAGAGCTGCACCCTCCGAACTCTGCACATAGTGCTCTCCTGCCCCCACTTCTAATTTCCAAGGTAGCCCTTACTCCCTTCTTGAAAAGCCACTTGCCAAACTTAATGACCCTGTTCTAGGTTTCTTCTCAGTTCTTTCACCTTTATTTAGAGATAGAGGAGCCAGTTTCCTTATTGAGTCATTCCGTTGTAGGCTGTTGGTCCACAAAAGATCAACTTTTTTATGGCTTTGCTGGTCAAATGAGGAGAGTGAAAGGAAGAGGGTTCGAAGACTATATGTGGAGGGTGGGGGGAGTCCATGCTACAATGCTACAAGACTATCAAATCATCTCCATGCCCCAAGGGAGATTCGAATCTGCAACCCTTTGAGCCCCTTTTTGACACTCAGCACGGCTACCCAGATCACCTTGCACCTCTTGTTCAAAGTACTAAAAATCACCTCTTGTTCATAAAGCTGTAATCCAAGTTTGTATCGTAAATCCTCCCTCTTGGCTTTCTTTTCTTCCATTAGTCGTCTCACTTCTTCGTCATGTATAGCTCTCTGCTCCAGATATCTTATATATCTCCTGGAAGAAAGATTAAAAAAGAATATACATTCAAGTTCCCTCAACTAACACAACACACTTATTTTGAAAACTTTTGAATGAGATTCCAAAGCAGCATTAAATTATGTTGTATTTCCATGTGTTAAATTCCTGACAAAAATGATAGAGTTATAGAAGTCAACACTTGTTGGGCCATAATAATTAATTCAATGACTTGCTGTTTTTCATTAATTAAAATCAATTTTTGTTATATTTTTTGTTACTTGTGCAAATAAGTGCACTTTAACACTTCACCATCTCTGTTTGACTGGAAAGTGTTGCTTTGCGGTGCACATACAGCAAAGCCCATTTCCAATTTACCATACACATACAGCAATGATGTCCTGCATACCATACTGCAAACTATACAAAATACTAGGGGCGTCATGAATGAACATGGTTGCCGCCTTGTATATTATGAATGATCCCAAGAGATTATACTAGTTTCCATGAATTCGTATCAGAAAATATGCAACTCACACCAAAGCGACTGTGGCATACTCATTTCAAAAAGTCGGGCGAGGCTCTATTGACACCTCGTTTGCCAATGTTTCATTTGTATGCCATTCTCGCTTTCTGTACCAGTTATGTAAATAACTACCTTATTTATTTATGAACGAGTTTTTACTTTTTTTGCAGAAAAGTGTGTTTTTTGCAAAAAAACACACTTTGTCTTTTTCACAAAAAATGTTTGTTTTTGAAACACATTATTAGAAGTCATTTGTAACACTAACTCACAAATACAATAGTGTTAACAAATTGCTGGAAATGTGCATATTAACAGTGTGAGAGATCTTTCAAAAAAATTAAACATTTATCTAATAAAAAAAAAAAAATCCCAAAATCAACTTTACGTCATATTAAAGAGTGCAAAGAGTACTATTTGTTTGAAAAGTTTGAAAAAAAAGTTTGGAGCCATTTTTGAGAAAATGACGTTTAAGCGTTTCTGAAAATGCAGAATTTTGAGTTCATTTTCACCAGAAAACTGTTGAGTTTTCGAGAAACATTATCTGACATTATTTAAAACACATGAACTAGTAAATACATAATGGGCACAAATTGCTGCTAATATAAATATTAAAGACATGAGGGACACGTAAAAAAAATTACATTTTTGTAATTTTTGAACAATCAAAAGAATAGAGCAATCTAATGTGTATGTCCTCTTAGAGTACATTAAGCACTATCCTTACCAAAAGTTTAAAGAAAAAATTTGGAGCTGTTTTTCAGAAGAAGAAAAAAGTACACAACCTTAATGAAGGAACTCACAATGCAGAACAAATTTTTTTCCACTATCTTCAATTCTATAATTGTAGGAGAATGCCAGAAAAAATTCAATTTTTTTAAAATTTGTGAGTTAACAGTGAAAGTTGGGTCTGTGCCACCTTTGTAAGTGTATTTTACTCTATTTTAACAAGAAATCTAAATAAAAAATTTAAAGCCATTTAAAGAAAATTTTGAAAATGTCCGGGGGGAGGAGCTTCATGTAAAGTACCTGAAGTTTTGAAGAAAGTTTTTCAAAATTGCATTGTCTTGAGTTGATCCAGATTGACAAGGGAATATCCATTCTGGAAAAAATCCTATGTATGGTTTAGATGCTAGTGGTGTTCACAGATGCACAGGCAGGCAGATTGAACAACAACAACACTTTTTCGTTATCAGGGGACCCCAAAACGCATATTCCTGTTGAAAAACTCAAAATCGATTTTCCGTAGCACAACACAACTTTCCCTATACTACATATATTAGTCTGTATATACATAAATGTACAGGAAAGTAAAAAGACTTATCCGGCAGAGAGCCTGACCCTGACTGAAGAGGACATCAAACACCTGTGTGAATTGTATCATGCAGGGATCGGTTGGATACATAAATTCAAAACTAGGCTGTTTTAAAGTAGGAAGTAGGTTCAAACGCCACGTTTCAAATTCAGTCCTTGCAATTATGTGCCTTAGACTGTAGTTTGGGTGTATGAGTTAGTTTCAGTTCCCCCCAAAATAATGGGCTTGTTGCAGTGATTGCGTTTTGACATATTATTTTATAAACTTTGTGAAATAACATATAATGAAGTACATAAAATAATGTGGCATAGAGTATGTGAAAAATTCCTACTTTGACAAAAGTATGATAAGAAAAAGGAAATTTTACAAAATGTATCTTCAGTATACGAGACGAATGCAGCACAAATGTACAAAGAAACTTTCAAATTTACCCTTGAAAAATGGCCAAATTAGACTTGATCCCCATACATACACTTAAAACGCACAAATAATCTAAAATGGACAAAAAACAGCTAAAAACATCAAAAATATCCTAAAAAATTGCAGCCAAGTTGCACTTAAACCCTCATACAAACCCCCAAAACCACTTTTCAAAAATTGACTGAAAATTGAATAAGTGGCCAGGAATTATATTAGCCCCCCACCTTGCCCCCTCTTACTCAATGCTGTGCACACCTAGTGCTAGTGCTAGTGCTAGTGCTAGTGCTAGTGCTAGTGCTGATGCTAGTGCTGATGCTAGTGCTAGTGCTAGTGCTAGTGCTAGTGCTAGTGATCATGTATCTATATACCCTAGCATTTTCCTGCGCACTGATTTAACAAATCCATTTAATATCACGTCACGATTATGAAAGAAACCAAAAAGAAATTGCGTTGATCACACAAACATAACCTCAAATGCCACAACGCTCATGTATCTGCCCATGCTTACAAAGTTGAGACATCAATGATTCTTCATGAGACACCTGTTTTTCCACTATTTCATACAAGTTTTACACAGAAAAGTGAAGTCCTCAGTCTTTGGAATTTTGCTTTTTAGAGTTTGTTCTAAGATTGGAATAAATTCACAATATTCCATAGAAAACAACAACACAGAATATTTTGTTAACAACAAGGATTCCTAGCGGAATTTAAATGTTAAAAGCTGATCCTAAATACAACACCACAAAAAAAAGCTAAATGTCACCTTTGAGGGTTACTTAGAAACAAATGGTTCTTATTTTGCCCCTATTCAATTTGGCATCGTGACTCTACTTTACTAATTATAATGTTCCTTTAGGTATATAAACATTTCATACATACTTGTCTTCTTCTTCCATTTCAGTTTTTCTTTTTCTTTTTTCTGCCTCTCTTTGCTTCATAAACATTGCAATTTCTTCTCTGGCACGAGCCTGACTCAAGAACTTCTCCTCTTCTCGTCTGGAAATTGGCAAAGTTATATAAAAATACAGGAAATAATTTTGCCATCAATTTTATTCAGCAAATTAACACAATTTTAAAGGACAACAGAAGAAATAAATCTCAAGTGGAAAAAACAAAAACAATCTTCTATTGTAAATGTTCCAGCCTCTATAAAGTAGATAATAATAATAAATAATAATATTAAAAAAAACTTAAGAAAATTAATGCACATAAATCAACCAGACAGGATAAGATTCAATTTAAGGACATATTGCCTTTGATGTTTTGAATGATTTGATAGTAAAACCACTGAATTCATCTATTAAAAATTTTTTTCTTCCCTGTCCATGCTATCTGTTGGTACTAGTACAGAAACTAGTCAACTGTACGTTTTCAAGTCATATTAAAATATTTTAATTTCTGCACATAAAACAAAATTATTTAATAAAATTACATAAAACTGTAACTGGTCTAATTTCAATTAAGATTTGCTATTTAGCTGAAAAATATGTAAGTATATTAGGCTGTATCGAAAAAAATAGAATTGAATGGTATAGTGAAAAGGGTTAGCTTTCAATGCAAGATCATCAGCATCACTAAAACTGATTTTAAAATGGGTGTTATATCATATCATATCATCAAATTTTTAGACTTTTTCGCTACTTTTTACAGAATAACGAATAAATATTATTTAACGTTATTTCTGTTGACGAATTTTGGGCTGAGGTGGTGCCCATGTTACTCCACAATAATTTTAAGATCATCAAACATTATTTTTATGACTCAGTGTGCCACATTAGTCTGAATATGGCCAATATTGAACTCCTAAAACCATAGAAATAACCACTTTCAAATGACCATACATCCATAAACTTTTTACCAAAATACTCTAACTTGATTAAGATGAAAGCTGAAATCTTCTACTTTAGAAACTTTTCCCTGTGAACCGTCGCTGCAGTTTGATCCTACTACCATGGTTAGATTTATTGTACCTCTATGACACCTCATCATCATCCACGAATCAAAGTGCAACAACCTGAGCTTACCAAGAGATAAAAGCCGGGGGGTGAGGGGAAGAGGCGTGTCAAAAGCGGGGGCGGCGGTTCCGGGTAGTGGTCACGTAGTGTGGTCAGAAACGGTCTGATCTATGCCAGAAATAATAATAATAATAATAATAATAATAATAATAGCTAGCTCTGTGTCGCAGGTGGTTGCGGAAGCTGTTGTCTACGATTGATATGATATTTGTGATTGTGCCATCACCTTTCATCATCATCCTATCATCTCATAACTAACAATTCAAGGCGTAACAACCATGTCTTATTTCGGTTTAATTCAATTCTTTAGAGGTAAGAGTGATACGGCACATGAGAATAAAAAGCCATAGAAGAAACGTGCACACTCTTTTTTAAAGGGATATGTAAGTAACAAGTGAATTCAAATCAATAAATTTACTGTAATTTGCTGCATCGAAATCATAAACACAAGGCATTGTAATAAATAATATTAAACCATCATTAAGTGCAATACTCATAACTACGATTGATATGATACAGTCAGTAGAGACAAGTTCATTATATTCTTTACATGCAAAGTCATCTTTAGTAAATTAATGAATAACCTTCCAAGATACATTCGGGAGATTATAGTAACTATATCTGGATGAATTAAATCAAAAGAAAACTAATCCCATTGAGATAACATAACTTCCTCAGATATGTAAAGAAGAAAATAGGAAGCTCAAATAATAACATCACATTTTGATCACAAATAAGGACAAATAGAATATCAACATCGTTAGCTGCTTCAAGTACAAAACTGTGATAAATAAGAATTTCAAACCCAAGCCGTTTTGATGAGAGTAACTATGTACTCATTAAATACATTTATGAATTTATCAACTTCATTTTAATAATGTTACTAAATCTCAAACACAACTCTAATTTTCATAATAGTACTTGAATTGATTAAGGAGGTTTTTGAAACTCTTTCCTTAATATCAAACAATATTTTTAGAGGGCCTTTGCATACTAATTGTCTTGGTTTATTTTGGCTTTGTTAAGATCAACCCGTTCAGCTCTCAAATTTTGTAATTTTTTTTTTGTTTGTATCAAGGTCAAGTGTCCATTAATTTTGATACAGATAACACATTCATTTAGTGCTTCAAGACTTTAATAGTTGATTAACGATTAAACAAAACCACTTTTACCAGACAAAACTATGCAAGAAGAGTTGAGTTTTACATTGTCCAAATGATTTTTCACAGATTGTTCAGCTGGATTATATATAATGACTGTTGTTACAGATATTGTGTGACAATGTTTCATATTTTATCATAATGTCATCCACATATTTTGCAGGTATAAAGAGTAGACGTTTGTATTTATTGATCAATCTGAGTTAAAAGATAACAAATAACAGTCTCTCATTTAAGTGAGCACAATCTGCTTGCATTGTTTTTTTTCTCTACAGACTTACACAATTTGCTGATTATCTCTTAACCCTTTCAGTTTTAAGCACCCAATGGAGAGGGAAATATTAAAACTTTTTCATTACATTTTCAGAAATTTGAAAGGTTTGTGTAACCTGCACGGACATATTTGTGAGATAAAAGGGAGAGAACATTTTTCCTGGAAGGGGTTTAAATGGTGTACATAATGATTATTAGAGCTGGGAGACAACTGCACCATAAATTACACTGTTTGAGAATCACAGCACATGAAAAGCAGATGAAGTTTACGAAAATGTTCATATCACAAAAACAACAACCTTTAAGGGTTTATCATCATTTACTCCTGAGCCCTTCATTTGTTTAACTCTATATTCTTAGTGAATATTGATTATATTTTTTTTTTCACAGAATTTGTGAACCTCTCTCACTTTATTTGTCTTAGTGAATAAGTACTGAACAACATAAAACAATGTTTTGTGGCCGGTCCGGATGGCCAAGATCGCTAAGGCAGTAGTGCCGTAGCGTACTCGGACCAAAGGATTGCAGGTTCGAGTCCCGCCTTGGGCATGGTCGTATTGTGCTGGTCCTTTTACTCCCCTATCATCATATCTTGTCCTCCTCATAGTTACAATACCGTTACTCGCAATAGTAGTTGTTAATGACCTAGAAGTTGATGCGATGGTAAATATAAAAATGTTTTGTAGTTTTTGAATTTCCTACTGCGAGAAGTAGCTCAGGGCATCAACTGATGGGACTGCAGTGCCTAGGTTTGAGTCTTGAGGGCAGCAGAATTTTTGACATTGGCTAGATAGCTATTCAGTCACTGTCTGGAGGAGAATACAAGCAGCCAGCTACTCCGATTGGTAATGACATAGCAGTACTCTAACAAATGGAACATGCGCAATCTTTCCTTCATCTTCCTTGTCCTATTTTCACCTCTTACTTACACACACTTACACTAATATGCACAATACCACACATGCCAAGAGACCTGTCGGGAGCTGAGGGCTTGTAACGGCTGGAGCGATGTCCAGCTGGTGAGAGGAATCTGGTAGGGGAAAAACTTGCTACCCGATGGTAGGTTGATGCTAGATCTCCCCATCTAGCAGGGGAAGATCACTGCCACCTCCCGTGATGAAACATGTATTACAATTATGGGACTTATGACCTTACCTGATGATGTACCCATATTTGCTAATCAATCAATTTTCCTTATAATGCATGTATTGAACTTATCTACTGTAACTTTTCTACAGATAGTTTGTGCAATGTAATCCCAGGGGTTCAGCTAGTGAAAAATTATGATGTTAATTATAATAAACACAAATCATATGTTTCTTATAATATTAACAATCGTTAATGTCAATAAAATACATAATAATTTTTGAGTAATTGTATATGATGTATAATGTTTGCACATGTATGTTTCTTATGCTGTATTAGTAGGTATATCAGTATGTGTTTGTATCTACAGATACAAATTTATCAATCCAAACATGTGGTGCACACATGTCTATGTACAGGATAGCCATTCCTTTCCTGAAAGAACTTTCCCTGACTTTTCCTGGTTTTCCAGTGCATTTTTTTACGTTTCACTCATAAGATTTTAACAGTATTTCACATTATTTATAACAAATACTTCAAAATTTCACAATATTCGATACAAATACCTCTTAGGGATGAATAGCTTTAAAGTATAGGAGGGTAAAGATTAATTGTGAGATCTACTAAAAACTATTTTGGGAATCCAGTATTGTTCTATTGCATTTAAAAATTAAAGAATAACACAAAGCTAGGAAGAGCTAATGATTAATAGTTCCTTACTTGCAATCCTCCTCCAGAATTTTAGCAGTAATTTCATCAATAAGATGCTTCTCCTGAAGAAAATCATAATATGCCTTTTGGCGTTTCTTTTCAGCTTCAATAAGTTGATCCTGAAGTTCTTGTCGAAACTGAAATCTTTTAATCAAATCTTCTTTCTGCATCTTTCGTATCTTTTCGTCTTCTTTTGCCCATGAATCTTTCAGTACATCATAGGCTTCTTTCTCATATTTCTGATTGTCAAAAATTAACAGGGGAGTAACAATAATAATTTGTTCATGTTTTTTGTGTTCATTATTTATATGAATCAATATTAAGATGAGGATCATCAACTACAAATTATAATTATTTACTAACCTTTTCCAAAGCTTCTGCAGCTTTTTTTTCTGCGCATTGAGCTAGCAATTCCTTAGTCCCATATGCAGCTTTGAGCTTTCTTTCCAATTCTCGCAATTCTACACAGTTTTCACGCAATCGCTGTCTGAAAATCATTTTAGATCACTATCACTAAATGCATATTTCACATATATGCAATAAGAACAGAATATATACACTTTACTAAAGCAATAATGGCTTCAAATGAATAAGAATCACACAAAGCAAATTATTTTAAAGACACAAAAAATTTCGGCTTCACAGTTTTCATAAAATCAATTAAACTTTTTCAGAACTTGAAAATCACCTGAGTTTTATTTCTCTCAGTTCTTGCCGTTTCATAAAATCAATTTGTTGAGCAAGCCTCTCTTCTTGTTCAAGTTCACATCTACGCACAATTTCGGCCTCCTTTGCCTTTAAAATGTAATCATAAATCAAGCATTTACATAAATCATCAACACAGGGTCAGATATATTGAATGGGAAAAAGATTTAACATTCTACCAGAACTACAGTATCTTAATAATTTGAACAAGTTTCCTTGAGCTCTGGATTTCCTAAGCTAAAAATGGTAGTAAGACAAGTTTTTCATTACATTTGATAACAAGAAATACTGGTTACCATGTAACTGAAACTATCTGTCCCAGTAATCGAGCTGTAGATTTTATTTGAATCATCTGTTCATGAAATAACTAAACACTCCTCTTAGCATTTTGAAAAAACAACAAAACAAGAGGTAACAAGAATGTAAGCAGATAGTAGCTTTACTTCATCAAACATTACACACAGTGCATTGATGTCTTTTTCCCCACCTTCACGATTCTGTCTTCCATTTCAGCTTCATGTCTTTCTTCATGTAACCTGAGCATGAATCTTTTACTTTCTGCTTTGTCGTCCATGTATTTGATAGCTCTCTCTCTAGTATCTGCTTTACTTTGCTCTGTGAAACACTGCATTTTGTAATCCCATTGTCTCTCTTTTCGACAGTTGTTTCCAGCCTGAAATTGCAGGTGAAAACAGATGTGTATACTGACTTAATATGGAAAATGAACAATATATGAAAATAAATATCAAAGTAAAAAGACTTGTAAATGGAGGACTGAAGTATAAAATCCCATTGTTTCTTAGATATATCAAAAGCCTACCATTTGTTGTACAGTGATGAATTGTACACACACGACACCTGCTTTTACAATGGAACACACTTATTAGACTTAAAAAAAATATTTTAAATGTTCAAAATAAATCCTTTAGGAATGTTAATAAACCACACAATTTCTAGCAACACCCACTACCACATAACAGCTTTGTATGCACGATGACAACGATTGTGAACTGCCGCGAAAAAATGCGAAAGTTTTTGTAATATCAACACAATACCACTAGTGCTCTCTGAAGGGAATAATTTTAACTTTAAACCGGGAAATTCAATTATTTTGTTTATGGCAACAATATTAATAAGTGCGGAACATTTCTGTATTTGAACAAAGCCGACTAGTGGAGAGAAAAAAATGTGTAATCGTGAATGGGTTGAAAATTTTCACATCCAATGTGAAGAAGGATAAAAGATGATTGATGGAATAGTACAACAAAAAGTGCTAGAATCAAGTGAAATATCATAATGAGAAACTATTTTCTTTCAGAATACGGCCCCCATCGGGGTCACTCAAGAAAATTGAGTCAAGCTGAACATCTTGCTCGAATACATGCATATTCATCAACTGACTGGCAGGAAGATTCGACTGTACGATGTTGGAAAAGACTCATGAACATTTTCTTTAGTATCAAATGGAACATTTTAATTTTAATTACTGTGATTTTAAATTCGTTTATAGTGATAATTAGAATGCAGACTGCTTCTGCTGGATGGAAGCTTCATTATTATTTTTTTGATGATGTGAGAATATTGTGTACCGTAATATATTGGATTGATACGATAGTCCGAATTGCGCACAGAAATTTCTCAAAACTTCGATTAACACAAACACACCGAATGCATCCTATAACATGTATTATTCTCGATCTTCTCAGCTTACTTCCTCTAGACACTTTTTATGAGTTGATGGCTATCAAAGACATTACCAACGAAGTAGATGACACAATAGCTTTTTTTAGTGCAAATCAGTTGTTGCAATTGTACAGGATTCCTTTAACTACACAACAACTAGAAACGAATTTTGATTTGAATGCTATTTTTTTGCATATGTTAGGAATTAATGGAAAGATATTTATAATAATTCACCTTTCTGAATTTATTTGGCTACAAGTTTTGGGGTATTGGCACGCCGCCGGGGGTAGGTCTTGGCTTACGTACGTCGCTGCTCTTTTTGACGTTGAAAGCAGCTTACAACTGTACGCAGTTGCTGGATCGGTATTAATTACCATGTTTAATCGTTATTTTCAAGGTATTATTCAACTAACTAACAATGCAGAGAGAATAATGACTGGCTGTATGTGGTTAACGGGTTTTTTCGTTGAGTATGGACTAACGTTCGGCGGTTTATTGCCCTCTTTGTATGCCTCGCACAGATTAAAGTATATTTTCGTGGAAGTGTCGCGACTATTAGAAAATTACTTGAGGATTCGAGACATACCACCTGAGACCGCGTTTCGCGTCAGAGAATATTACCGCGAGCTGTGGGCCAGGGCGTCCGGAGTAAAGATGTCTGCATTTCTTCCTAGTCTTCCTCTGTCTCTGCGCAAGGAAATTCTGTTGGACGTCTATTGGAATGCATTCAAACATTCGAATATACTGAGCGTTCGTCCGATGGCAGTCAAGCGTTCCCTGAGCATGTTCATGGAGCAAGAGTTCTATTTGCCCGGGGAAATACTGTACCACAGAGGACGAGAGAAGAACATGATGGTATACATCGTGAGCGGCGTGATAGAAGTGCTGGCCGTCGAGGATAACAAGACACCCATAGCGTCCTTCACGGCGGGAACCGTCATGGGGGAGGTGACTCTCGTATATCCGCACACGAGCCAAAACACGATTCGGTGTGCCACGTTCTGCGTCATGCAGGTAAAGCAATTCGCTTGAAATTGGACTTCGTAATTCTTTCCTTATAACCAGACGTTAAACTTTCAATAAATTAACAGTTAAAAGCTCTTCTAACTTGTGCACAGTATTGTAGGCAAGAAATAATAAAAGGGCATCAATAGGGCGGTTTGCTTCGGACAGCATCATGATAAAATATGTATAATAAATTAAATCTCTTGTCAGTTACATCCGGGACGGTACGTTTGTTGTAAATTCCGCTTGCCGCTACTATCTTAACTATTTCTTGAGTTTACCATCCAATACCGAATACTTAGAGGTGGAATTTACTGATCAAACTTATGTTTTAGGTGCATTTCTAAGTATAATTCAACATAAAAATATAAAGCATTCCTTACAATGAAACGTAATTTAATAATAGGTATCTTTAAATCATTCAATATCTTAATTTATTTGTGAAGTTAATAGAAATATTTTCATCAGCTCTTTCGTGGAAATTATTATTTTATTTATCGTTTAATTTAATATTTTAATCCAATTTTCATCAATATTTTCCTGTTGGTTTATCTGCTATGGAATGCCTTTTCCCAATGTTGCTTTTCTAATATTTACCATCTGTAAAGGTACGGGTGATAAATAAACATTTAAACTATGTAATATTAATAATTGTTTTATAAATCGTTTCAAAAACAATTTTATTCGTACCTGATTATAATTTTGACTTATATAGTTGTATAAATAGTATTATCTTCGCCAATATTGTTATTTCATGAGCAGCTTTCAAATGCTTTGGTCTTTCCATCACTACTCTCCGGAAGCTAGAAATTTGACTAGGTTTCCAGACAACAGTTATAATGATTGCAAGGCTTTCGACAGATTCTCATGAAATAAATATAAACATCGATAATAACAACACTGTTTTTTCAAATACTAGTAATCTCAACCGCACCAACAATTAATCAATACTAATTTCATACTAGAATCTACTCACAATTCGACTTCATTTTAATATTTCGCTCACAATCACTGACTGATTGCACATAACAACGAAATTGTGGATACATTGCAACCGCAAGACCGCAATAACTCTACAATATGTACAAACCTTTGGCTATAGCTACTAAAGAGATATGGCCAATAAAGAGATGATCGTTTTTCAATACTTCTTTGCGAGATAACCGATTGTCGAAGTTGTTCGATAATATCGAACTTCATTATTTTGTGGTTGGTGGAATCTATGAGCATAGTGTTTAACATCACCAAAGAGAAAATCCACATTGTTCCGATTCAAATGAAGAACTAAAGGTGCTAGAGAATGGCAAAGACTTTCTTGTTCTAGTCAGTTTTCTATTCATTTTAGTCTGGACTACATTTTCAACTTTGCTCCACCCTCTTCGCAGATTGCTGCCTAAAGGATTTATTCGCATTTTCTCAATTTTTCGATTCCCTAATGGTAGAAGGTAGAACGGTAGACCATTAAAATATGATTTTAACAATATTATCGAATTGTAACACTTGGCCCTATAAGCAGGGGTGGATTCAGATACGATATGTGTACATAAAATGCCTTTAACAAAGTTAATATATTAAGTTTAATATTTAATGAGTACTTTATGGTTTTAAATTAAAAGTAGTATAATTTGTTATTAAAACCGTTCAAATGAGCAAAACGACGAAGGATTTAGTATTGTATTTTTCATTCTATGATATAGTTGTGAACGGATAGAATTTAAATAAAAAGGCAGGATATCAATTTACAAATTAAACATTCGCCTACATACTGTCCAGGACTGAAGAAAGTCTGCAAGATTTCACAAAATATGTCTCAAGCCTCTTCTACTTTTTTTTATTTTCATTAGATTTATTTCTCTTTTCTTATTCTTTTTATATACTTTAAGCGATCCATGCTTTGTTCTTTTGTTGTTTCGGGCACACTGTAATTGCGCAAAATGTTACAGCGGTCCACCATCACTCACTTGGCACCTTACTCCGTCAACACTGTTTCCATTTGCGTCTGTCATATACTCCAATACGTGAAAGTCGCCGTAACACCGTTTGGGGAGCGAAGTAAGGAATATATCTGAACTCCCATACGCTTCTGGAGAACAGTCGAAGACATTTTTCATACGTACCACGGGGCTAGAATCAGGATTCTTATTCGTAACAGTTTTTTTGGGGGGGGGGGACGGAAGACGAGGGAAATCCGCACCTGCTATACGCAAATTTTAGATGAAACCTTTTGAGCTGTTTTTGAGAAAACGTCTTTTGAGCGTTTCTGAAAATGCGCTATTTGAATCTCATTTTCGCAGAAAGCTTTTCAGTTCACGAGAAACATCATTGACAATAATTCGAAGCACTTTTACTCACTAATGCATAACGTAAACAAATCCGTAATGTAAATATTAACGACGAGAAAAATTTACTTTGCATTTGTGTAATTTTGAAAAATCAAAATAATAAATGAAAATGGCATCAATGGCATGTTATTCAGTGCATTTATCACTATTTGTACAAATAAAGCAAGCAAGTGGTGCTACTTCACAATCTTTCTCGCAATATGATTAATGCTTGTGTAATATTATTACGTAACAATTTGTTTTACACTCCAGCTACCATTTGAAAAAAAATTAAACGTAGCGCGAAAAATAATATTTTTTATGCAAACGTTTAAAAGAAAACAGCTTTATTCCAATTGAATTCAGTGTACTCGTTCTTTACCAACAATGTCCGATGCGTATTTTAGCCGTAAAGAAGATAATTAGTTTATAATAACGCGTTCCAGCATCGTCTGTCACTACCACCCCGTTGGCAGTGCAGCGTAGTCAAAGCAACAATGGTCTCTGGTTCGTATGTAATACACATTTTGCAAATCAACATTGATACCGCTAGTATCAAAATGCAAATGTATAGAAAATATAGTTAAATATAATTTTATATTTATTTTGTTTTATTCATTAAAACTACTCGTTTATACATGAACTACTCGCCATTCCCACACCTTAGCATGCAAAGTGAAATTCGCATTTAACTCGGTTAAACGAGGCAAATTAAATACATTTAATGCTTAAATAATATTAAATGTAATCTTTCTTTTCAACATTCTATTCAGCAACGATTGTAAATGAAGACGCGAGCTTAAGATCGTGTCAAATTACATTCACAGAGTGACAGCCTCTGGTAGCAGGATTTTCGTTAAATCCTCACCCCTTACTGACACACACACACACACACACACACACATCCTACACTAACACTCATGGCGGGAGACCGGTCGGGCCCAGAGCTTATTCCGGCTGGGACGGTGCCCCTCTGGTGGGAGATACCTGTTAGGGGAAAACCCCGCTACTCCTCAGGTAGGTTGACGCCAGATCTCGCCATCGAAAGG